TTTCTTTTTTCTTTTTTCTTTTTTAACTCTATTTTACCTTTAATATCCAGATTTTTGTTTTCCCTTCTGCTTGGATTTGTCTCTGTTCTTTTCTTTTCCGATTCCTGATTTTGCAAATCCATATGAAAAACTTCCCCACGAATTCATTTACACCATTAACCATTTTTTTCTTCTTTTCTTTTGCATTAAATTAATTTGGGCCGGATTGGCTTCCGAAAATTGGACCTCTCAAAATGGATAAGTAGCTGTTCTGACCAAGGTTTCTAGGCCCAAGTGACTTTCCCCATCATTGTTGTTGTTGTTGTTTTGTTTTTTTTCTCTTAAACGTGGAAGTGATAGAGATGGGATGATGATACTGCACCAGCCAAAGATAGGGAAAGTGAGAGCCGTTTAGGAGCCCTTGAGAGAATAAAGAGGCAGAAAAAAACTTAATTTTAGTTACTAACCTTATCTAATTTTGGGTCCTGTTATCTTTTGTTCATTTATGACACTTTGCACTCTTTAAGCATTTCTGGCATGCAGTAAGCTGGTGCCTGCCTGAATATACCGAGACTATGAGTAATTTCAATTCTTGTGATTTTTGCCCCTGCAACCAGAGTACTGAACTTGCACTTCTTGTTTTCAGCTCCTACATATACTTACGAAAAATAACCAGGTATTTTGTACTTGCTCGGGGAACATCACAATCTTTATTCATTGAAGATAACTTTTTGGGGTGAGGTACATACATTAATTCCAATTTGGTGCAATTTTCACATTCTCAACTATTTTGATACAAAAAGTGATGATGAAAGAACGATAAAAGAACAATTACAAAATTTCATTGGAAGAGCCGAATAGAAACTTTACAATGTAAAGAAATGGATACAACTGTTAAAATCTCGACCCTAGCTTCGACAGAAGCTTCCCAATACACCCAATCTCACATCGCTCTTTTGTACTCAATAGCAAATGCATCCGTTGTTGCAATCAAAATTCAAGACAACATTAGCAAGTTTAACTTGGCCTTCCACACATTTCATGTCTGTTAGTTAGCAACTAATTTGACAGAATATCGCACTTGATCGCCTTAAATATTTATGCATCTTCCACTTTGCATTGATTGATCTGGATGAAATTTCTTCACTTCGGAGACTTGCCATATCATCACTGGGTTGCCAGCGCAAATGACACTGCTGGTGTTGGCTGAATTGTCAGGAGAGATGTGACCTATGTTGGAAAGTGGGTTCAAATCTCTTCATCACCATTTCAAGACAAAAAACATATCGAGCAAATCACGTT